TGTTTCCGTTTTACTCTTCAGCAGATCGCAGGCATTTCCATACAAATCTCTAAGCCAGTGTTTCTCAACCTTGGCAACTTTAAGAGATGCTGGCTGGGGAATTCTGGGAGCTGAAGTCCACATATCTTAAAGTTGCCAAGGTTGAGAAACACTGCTCCAAGCATTCCCTCACTTCAGTTTCATCCCAAATCATTTCGTTCCTTTTATTTTTGATTCCATTTATGCTTGCTATTGATTTCTTTGCCATTGTATATATGGATAGACTCATGCTTAACCCCAACCCCAGACCAAAGACTCACCAAATAGTCACAACCTTCAATCGTTTTTGAGTCTCTGAATGGCCCAATCACATTTCTATTCTCACCCATCTCTTTCCCACCCATCCATTCAATATCACCTAACAAAAAAAAATTTTTTTTCCTGCTGGATCCCATTGATTCAAAATATTTCATAGCTCCTCCAAAAACACATATCTGATTATTATCACCATTCACTGGAGCATAGCATGCAACTAACATCCTCTATGAACTCCTAGATTCATTTGCCCCCCAGTTGACATCAATTCTACTTTCAGGGATACAGAATAAAGAATTATGGATCTTTCATTCCTAATTAAGCCTACCTCTACCTTCACTGCTCTGCATGTATTGATTAACTCCAGGCCACGTGAACAGGCCACCTTCTTTCAGATCCATATGTTCTTCCTCATCTTTTTAGTTTCTCAGACACAATAATTTTATTTTTCTTGTGTTCATTTCATTCATAACTTTTACTCCTCTTCCATTCCAGGCTGCAACCTTCTATATGCCACAGTCATCACCAGATGGACCCATGGATATTTGCCACCCAACATGACTCTAGTCAGCTGAGGCTTTCACCTGATATTGTTTAGTAAAATAGAGAAGGTGTAATGTGATCAAAGTTATCAGCCTTGGCCACGCCTGCTAATGGTATGGACAGGACCAGTCAGTTTGGACACATTTCGGCCAAGATGCCAGAAGTGCAAATAAAGCCCCGTTTTATCCAAAACATCCCATAGCCTTCTATGCCATCTAGGATCTCTAATCTAGAGACTTCTTTGAATTGCTGCCTGCATCCCCTCAATACAGTCCTAATACATACTGCCTGACCCAGGACACATTTGCAAGGGGTTTGGAACAAAGATGACATTTAAATTACACCACGCTACACCAGTTCTCCCAGCCTAATATGAAGTACCAGATTTCACAGTGAAATAAGTAGGAAATAATAGTGCTTCTTCATCCTGGCCTTGAGCAGTTCGCTCGAGCCGTTCCAAAGCATGTAACTCTAACGTGCCTGCTTTTTTCGCTGCAGTTACTCAGAGTGGCCACGGGATGGAGCCAGATAGTTGCAAATCTGATTTATGGTGCCCCCATCAACAGAATGCTATTTTTTTGCTCACCAATCTCCCATCTCTTTCCAAACCAGGCCTGGAATGAAATACAACAGAACCTACCAAATATAAACACAGATATTATTGTACCCTAACCCTAAAAATAATATTTTGTATATGATCCTAGGGTTCAGGCTATGAAAACTTCTGAGATTTGTGTGATAGAAACTTCCAATGTGGATTTCTGTAATACTTATCTGAGACTTTCAGAAGTTTCAGAAACTACCCTGGTACCAGATTAAGGGGCTGGCCTTACTCTTCTGGCTGCCAGTTTGATACAAGGCAGAGAGCCTTTGAATCTCAGCTCCTTCCTGTAAGTACTTTGAGGTCTGAGGAAAAGAAACCCTGTTTCCTGGAAATTTCCAACCCTGCTTGAAATAGATTCTGGTCATTTCCCCCCAGTTAGCTCTGGTTTGCTGGAATGTGATTAATCCGATATCTCTTTTCTACTTCGGATATCTTGGCTGTCTGACATTTTAGATGTTCATTTGAGGTTTCCTAATTGTTTAGAATAGGTCAACCGATGTGCAGACCTTGATGATAAAATCATCATCAATTGCCGAGTGGCGCCCCACAGCCCTGTTTCAGGTGACACGAGCCCTCTTGCGAAAGGGGGGTCCGGAGAACCTTTTGCAGGAGCATGCAGAGGAATTTGCTCAGCATCTGTTGGACAAAGTCGGGGAACAACAGGCTTCAGCTGAACCCTGGCAAGACTGAGTAGCTTTGGGTTTTGGGGCCTGCCAGTTCTAGGACTATGCCATCTTTGGCACTGGATGGGTGGCACTGCCCCAGACAGACCTGGTGCACAATCTGAGCATCCTCCTGGGCTCGTGACTCCTGCTCGAAGAGCAGGTGGCAGTTATGGCTGGGAGGGCCTTTGCACAACTTCATGTTGTGCACCAGTTGTGCCCCTTCCTGGTCCGGGAGGCTCTGCTCACAGTCACTCATGCCCTAGACACCTCCAGATTGGACTACTGTAATGCACTTCACATGGGGCTGCCCTTGAAGAGTACCCAGAAGCTTCAACTGGTGCAGAATGCAGTGGCACGGGCAGTTACAGGCACATATTGCACCTGCTCTGTGAGCTGCATTGGCTGCCAGTTTGCTTTCGGGTCCAATTCAAGGTGCTGGTTTTGACCTTTAAAGCCCTTCATGGCACGGGCTGGGTTATCTGAGGGACCGCCTCTCCCCGATTACATCAGCCCATCCCAATAGATCTGGCAGGGAAGGTATGCTACGGGTCCCATCGACCAGGAGTTTGCGTTTGGTGGGCCCCAGGAGGTGGGCCTTCTCTGCCGTGGCTCCCTCCTTGTGGAACATTCTCCCCCCTGAAGGGAGGCTCGCCCCTTCCCTGCTGTCCTTTAGGAGGTCCCTCGAGACCCAGTTGGGCCATCGGGCCTGGGGGCCCCAGGGAACCGGAGACATTCTTAAACGGCTCCACTATGACTGATATTCTGCTCTCTCCCTGGGGTTTGTATGTTCTAATTTTTTTGATGTTTCCATTTTAATTATTACTTTTTATCTTTTTATAATGATTGTTTTTTATGTATTTGCTGTTTTCTTGATTGTTGTACGCTGCCCAGAGTCGCTTTTGGTGAGATGGGTGGCTATATAAATGTGATTAATAAATAAATAAATTGCAGCTTTTATCATCAGAACAGTTGGCTCTTCTGGAAATTACCCTGGGCTGAAAATTAAGAAAAAGAAAACCCTAATAAAACATAAGGTGATTACCAAAATACACGAACGGATGTGTAACAGGAATGCACAGTGGAAGAGCATGAAGTTCTGTTTCCAAAAATAATTTCAATAAGCAGAAACACGAACACAAAAACATTAATCAAAGGCACCCATTAATCAAGGCTGCAAAAACCCGGCTGACCACAAGATGGCAGGAAAAGGTGATAATTGTCTGGGTTTTGACAGCTCAGATCTTCTAGCCCTCATGAATGAAAGCACTTATGAATAATGCTTATTATAATCTAATGGACATGATCCAGCAAAAATCAAGTATTTAACTGCCTCATTAGGTTCACTGAGAGAGAGAGAGAGAGAGAAAGAGAGAGAGAGAGAGAGAGAAGCAAATTCTTAAATATCTCATCCTGAAATGGAGGGGGGCAGGTAAATTGCTTTTTCTAAGCCATATCCATAACATTGAATAAATTACAAGATAATATCTAAAGAAAATTGTTCAACTTAGCCCGATGTCTCAAAAAGGTACATTTTCTTCCACAGAAACTGTAAATTTCGTGCCGTGGCAGTATTCCAATCTCTAATTTTCCATTCATTGATCATTTATAATTCTATGCAAAGTCGTGCAACGACTCACCAGTTAACCAATTTATTATTGTATAAGGATCGGCTTTTGGGAATTAGAGCCACTTCATCCGATGCATAAAGTATTTCCAAATTAGAAAACGGGGGGGGCGGGGCGGCGAGGGGGCCGCAAACAGCGAAAGTAGAGAAAAAC